TATAGTCTAACTATTGAAGTTACGTTGCTCTAACTACTTTTTTACATTTAACAAATTGATAGAAATGCCGGTCAAAATCGGACCGTGTTATCCGTACCATTTATAAATTTTTATCCGAATAAATAATTTAATATTCAAGACTGTCTCAATACATGATGATTGTTTTTTAATTATTGAAATCGGACATTCCATTCAAAAGATATCACGAAGTTAAAACAAAAATGCATGCCGGTGGCGGCTGCCACGCCGCGATCGAGTATCTAATTCGACGATAGAGGGGCAGATCGCTGGCTCCTTACGCAGTGGGCGCGAACGATATTAAATATTTCGATTTTTTGTCACCTTTTTATGCTTCACTTAAAAAGTTCTTTTCAAAGCTACTTAGTTTTAGTATCCTTCATAGGAATATGCCTAGAAGAAGAAGGTCGCAGCTATCTAAGAATAGTTCCCAAGCGAGATTAGCAAAAGTTCGTCGTATTGGAGAGTCTTCTTCCTAAACTGATCGTCTGGAAAGTATTAGGGTGTACGCGTCCCAATCGCGAGCCAGAAATTCTATCGTCGAATGGTTAGGTTCGTCTTGCAGAACAAAATGCAAGATCCTCGCAGCGCCTCCTGAACCAGCGAGATAGACCACAGTCGTTAACAGAGAGGACGCGCGATACTTTTTTTTCTAATTTAGTGATTCATGGTCGTTTTAATTAGCATGCTTATAATTTAAATGTCTGTACTTATTTATGTCTACCCGTGCGAAGCCGGGACAGGGCCGCTAGTATTTTATAAATAGAAATGTTTTATTTCTAGCTAGAAAAGTAAAAAGTTCAATAAATAAATCTCCATGCTTATAACTAAACTTTACACAACAATAGAAAAATGTACGTTTCCTTTTTAAAATTATGTCTAATGTCCAAGATACAAAGCGTACAGACGAATTTTTTTTTTAATTAAACAGTTAATAATCCCAAGGCTTACTCGGACATTGTCGTCTGGTAACGAATACCTTCATTTGTAAGTATTTGTTATTCAATGAAAAACAATGAGAAAGTGTTAATTACTGGTTATAATTATTATAGGTTTTAAAACCAGTAGGAGCGCATCTATTCTGCAGTAAAAAGACTCGCTAACTATGAAAAATCTATCGGCAATTTAATTAAAAGTTAAAAGTGCCAGAACTATTTCCAGCGAGGGTATAAAATTCTTCGTTTTGAAACTTCAAAACTGCGGCGTCGAATTACGTTTAATTGTTCAAAGTATTCACGCGAAACTTTTCGGAATTATCATATTTTGAGAACTGATTGCCGTTTGAGAACGGTTTTGCACTGTAAACGGTATTATTCTAAGGAAAATATCCCAGCATATTTTAAATCTTAATAAAGGTAAAGACATAATACATATATAAGTAAATAAAACTAAATATCAAAAAAAATAAAAATAAATCGGATCAAACCTGTTGACTATTACCCACACATTGCTACCATTGACCGACCAACGATCCCGTCAGTTCTTATAGTAGATAGTGATATATACCTAATTATTCTTCTACGTTAGAGCTTTATTTATTGTGATTATAGTATTTATTACTCCTGGTGTTCATGTCTCTTACTTGATGTGCCTCGTAGATTTTCTTCTCCAATTCGAAATGTCTTCATGAATTTCCCCTCTACATTGTTTGAAGACGTCCATATTAAAAATTTAATTCAATTTTGATATGCACGAGACGTCCGAATTCCAAATGTCACCCTCATTCACCGCCTTAGAGAGAGAAGTTTGCATAATGTTGTTGATAAGTGAAAGAGGATAAACTTGCGACTTCATAATGTATTTTAAGATCACCTATGTCGTGGGTTGGTGAATCTCAACATCAACGACGTTTAATATCATAAGAATATAAAAGTAATCCTTTCCTCATGCTTAATAAATTTGTCAAGACTATTTTATTTAGTTCTAGTTAATTCATTACGTCCACATTTTCATTACCGACCCATATTCAAATGACGTAATAATCGCATTCTCAAACGAACCGCTCGAAATAACCGCACGCAGTTATTGTAATTCTGTTTATTTTTAATTAAACTTCCGTAAACCCGATAATTAGTGCATTCCGCGACGAAATAATATCGCGCTTAAAGCCAGTTTTAAACAGTTTTATTACACATAAAACATTTTAATTAAACGTTGTGTACAACGGGTAATAGTATCGTACGCAATTCACAATGGCTCGCGAAATGTTCGCTTTCATTTGCTTTTCATCATTACCTTAATGATATTTCGAGAGGGGTTTTAACTTAACAACGTATTTAAGTACGTTTTCGCTGTGGCACTTCTATTAAATTAGTTGTTTGAGGTTTATAAATACACAGGTGGGACTTAAACCTATTATAACAGCATTTTCATGCTGATGCTTAACCAACAAATGTGGATTACATTGTTACGCTCATTTGTTACGACCATTTATTCATGTATGTATTATATTGTAGTTATATTAAAGGGTAGTATGTCGCGCGCAATACAACACTTTTAATATGAAATATCACCCAAAGTAAATATGTGTTTTGATGCGTCTAATAAATCGCAACCAGTCGCAAGTTTGCACAGATCGAATCCCCTATCACCAAGTTGTCCCCAGCTGCATTGTGCAAGTTTAAGGAATTCTCTCCCCTCTTAGGGAACGAACGACGTCTCATTACCGTAACTTATCATTAACTTTCTCCGTCGTAATTTTGACGTCTCTGTCTTCGTATTTAGGCATTTTCCACGTCTATGTAGCGCATATAGCTTAAAGCTAGCCTATACTAGAGGTCCTTAGAGGGTCAACGAGGCGTTTTCAGTAAAGAATCTGATGCAAACAAGATATGTACCTTCGACCGTATGGAATCTGTCCCCTTTTGATGAGTTAAAACAAAATCATTCTACTATGAAACCAATCGCACAACTCATATCAAGCTACAGAAATATCTTCTATCGCTCACTACCCTTCGAAAATAAGACACGTTAACTCGAAAAACCTAGAAAAAGTACAGCTAACATTACCATGACTTATCCTAACGTTTCCTAAACTGTTATGCGCGTGTAAACACTTTGCCCGGGTTCAAGAAAATGGCGGCAAAAAATTATTAAGGCCCGTAATTGGATCTTTGTGAATAAACATTAAGTAGGGGTGCTAAAAAAGAAAATATTAGACTTTGGTGTGCGTGGCGTGGTTTAATAGATATTTATTTGTGCATTATTATTTTTATTACCACGATACGAAGTATTATGTTTTATATTACCTAATAAGGTTATATTATGTTACTTTGTTAAGATTATTATAAAAGGGTGATTTAATTTTGATATGGTTAGACGAAAAATTTAACGTTTTCATTAAATACATCAAGCCTTCCCTTCATTTTATTATATTATTGTAGAAAATGTATGATGAGGCTTTCGTGACCTTTCTTAGTAGTAGGTTTATAACGAAAACCCTAGTAAGTAAAGTAGTATATATTTATTAGCTGGTATAGCTATACCCACATCACAAATTACTAATTAATATTTGTAATAAATATTAATCCCCACCTCTTAGAACGAAGAAAAGGTCGATTAATTAATCACGAAATAATTTTCTATAAATACGCTTTTATATACTTTCTTCGGTAAGAAGTGGAATTTTCTTAATTCATTTTCCGCAAAATTAAAATTAATGAGATCACCATGAAATCGCTTTTCTTTATCTTTTATTTGGGGAATGCTTATCTCTACACAATGAGATGTTTTGTATTTTTCACAGATTTGTTGTGCCTTAATGATCTCGTTTTTCCGCATTACTTGTCTCGGAAAATAAATTATGTGTCGTTAAAACAGACTGCTTGATTTTATTTTTAACTTAAAACAAATAAATTGAATTATTTGACCAAATCATATCATATATTTAACACATATCACATATATATTACTTGTAAAAATACTAACAAACCAATTTTTGTACTGTTACTTTTTAATCAGTTTTAATTACATTAGGGAAGTAAACGTAATTTTTAATAATAACTTTCATCAAAACATGCGTTTAGTTTTGTTATTATATTTCATAGTGTAGGTTATATTATATATAGTCTACCATCACATGAACTATAGTTCCCGGATCGTCACAACTCCCTTTGCTTACTTTATAATTAATTGTACGAGTATAAATAAATATAATTACACATTTTGAAAGCTTTTCTCAAAATGTACCTTATTTCTCTCAAAGTCCTTTAAAAATAACTTCAGGATCTGTTAAGGGATTTGTCGTTACATAATGGGTGTCTCAATGTATCGCAACACGTCTTATGGGATTACGGACACATGCCATGAATACTCCACATTCTGAGACTTTTACGGGAATTCCTTTTATATATTGCTTTCGCCCTTTAAACAGACAAAGTTGGATTTCTCGTGTCTATATTTATGTGGTAAGTTTTAAATGGCGAGACATTGTTTTGAAGTTGTTTTCGATTTAGATTCTAAATGTTAAGTGGAGTGGGCAAGAGGATCTACGATTTTCGCAGTCCACCAACGTTTTTTTAGAAAAGATTGTAATCACTAAATAAAAATGTTAACATTGAGTTTCGATCGTTTGTTTATTTAGTCTAGCTACGTCTTCTACAAGCAAGTCCTGGTTCTATACATTTTTCGGCATGTTGCATTGCAAATACAGATGTCTGCATAGGCATTAATCGTAAGACACTCCGTCGCTTCGGACTCCATACAATCGATTACGAGTAGTTCTATCAACTGAAACCAACCCCGACAGACACCAATACCTCCATTTTTACTGATGCTGTAATGCATAATTCAAGCCTACGTCCCGCAATAGTGACGTATGAATAACGTCGCCTCCTTGTTCTTAGTTTCGTCGCTCGTAATGGGTCATGAAACTTTTTTACCTTTTTCTAGCTAGATTCTGCAGAAAAATCATGTTGAGATATTGGCCGAAAATTTTCCGCTTCTATTGCTAAGACGACTTAGTCATTTCCTTCCTATACGCACTAAGACCATCCTAGCTCAAACTCTTCTTTTACCACTGCTGGACTATGCACGTATGCTCCCGGATTTGAATGAGGAACTGTTGGATAAACTGGAACGTTTACAAAATTCTTTAGTTCGTATTTGGTTTGAGAAAATTGTATGTATCCGGTTCCTAAAAAGCTAGGATGGTTGCCCATTCGTTCTCGGCGAGATGGCATATCCTTAATCTTCATTCTATCCTTTTTTGCCCCAAATATCCTTCCTATCTAAAATCTAAGTTTAAATTCAGGGTCCGTACGGTAGCTACATTTGCGATCATTGACCGGCTTATACTTGAAGTTCCTTCCAAGTCATATCTAGGCAAATCCTTTCAAATTACTGCGGTCAGGTTATGGAATACCTTACCCGTCTCCATACGTATGGCGTCTTCCCTCCTATCCTTTAAAAAGCTCCTCTACAAGCACTTTATGTCACTTAATTACCCATCTTAATAAATTGTCACTATCTTTTAATATTTTTACGCAATCCTTATTTTAGTTTAGTTTCCCTAGATAAGTTTTGAAATTGTATGTAAGTTTTTTGATAAGTTAAGTTATATTTAACATTGTACATTTTGTTTCGCCCACCTTCACATCTCGTTTTCCCGTAAACTTTTTCTCTCATCTTGGGTTGCCTGGAAGAGATCGCTCGACGAAACGCCCTGCCCATATATAAGTATATTTTGTTATTTTGTGCAATAAAGTGTAAATAAATAAAATAAAATAAATAAAACTTGTTCGCAGAAGGTGGCGACCATATTCCAGGCCTTTTTTTCACTGGAAATAGTCAATACCGATGACATGAATCAGGACCACCAATATTGTAACTTCTTACGATTTCGAAACTTTACGCCTAAGTACTTTATACCTCACATACATAATTGGTAAATACAAAAACAATGTTATAATATTTCTATTGTTCACCTCTGAACCTTTTCTAAGGTTCACCTACGATGTTGTTACGAAGCGGTCACAATAAACACGCTCATGTATTATTCAATACGTAACTAGCGGCTCCATAATCGCCCCATATGACACAAACGGACAATTGTATGTCCTTATCTGTCTAACCGTGTAATAAGCGCTTCCCGAATGGACTAATACGTCTAGATGTTAGATTGTACATATTACTGAGTATAGTAAAATTACGTGATGAGGCTTAATTTGAAGACGCATTAATTTCCTATACAGTTTATTTCCTATACATAGTAGTTTTATATACGTTTATCATTATATTTATGTACCTATGACTTAATTTACTGTATGTGTAGTATTCAAATATTATAGGGAGATTTCATATTCCCGGAAAAGTGAGTGTAAGATGTAGAAATCGTATTATTATATTTTATTGGAGACATAAGGCCGGGCGATCGGACCACACCATTTAGTAACTATTTTCACCCATAAGTCTTCGTATAATAAAGCAATTCTTTACCAAAATTCCACAGTTCGATTATTTAGATTTTACACGAATTTATGTGCTGTTGGCACACCAACAGGACTTTAAAAACGCAGACATACCAGTTTTGGAATGATTTCATAAGTAATCTGAATCTATAGCATGTTAGCCCAAGTCTTTAGTAATTATGATCAACAACGATCCAAATATTAAACATTTCTCTTTCAATTACAGGTACACAGCAGATTCCATTCGATTCTAGAACCCTGATTTATTATGCTTGATTATGCAGGTAAATAACGAAAATTTGTTTGTATTGTGGTTTATGGTGCATAATTACTATTTAATGATCTGCACCAGTGCTCGACAGCTTATTGGCGTACAAACACTTTGTTCTGTTACTAAATGTAATTATAACAAAACCACGTTAATTATTACACTGCAAGCAACTCTATACGCGGAAAGTTTGTCCATTTTCTCTTGAGAATAATGAATTTTCGAATATATTTTGCCTATGAGCTGCCAAATGTGTGGCGGAATCGTTTGTAAAAAGGTTATGAAGATAACTGTGAATTATCAACAAAGAGACAAAACTTAAAAAAGACATTTATAAGGTTCGTCTTACGAAAGAAATGCAAAAACTTGGAAGTATTTAATTAGTTAATTTAATTTTAAACTTACGTACCTCATTCATTAGCAACTAAATGCAAATAAATTCTGAAGAATTTAACTGTTTATTGTTTAGGTAAGACAGTTAGTTAAAAATAATTTAAATATTAAAAGATCCAATACAACGTTTTAGAAACTTCACTTGTTTTTAAGATTATTGACAACACAAATTGTGTGTTTAGGCTTTTATTTATTATGAATTCTACCCGGATTGCTTATAAAAACGCTTCGAAACAGTAAGTCAAATCTAGGGAAGCTTATAGCAGCTTATCAGGAATAGAGCCTGAAGGCTTTCAATAGAAAAACACGGCTCACCTTTTCCTCAAACGAAGGCTTTGCATTATCAATTTGTTGTCACCCAAAAATCAATATTTTAATATTAATCTCACTAAAATAGACAGTTTGATTCGTGGTGAAATGTAGAACACGTTGCGTTCAGTTGCAAGGTCCTGAGTTTGAATTATTATGAATCGAAAAAATTACGACTCGGGCAGGACTTGAACCGAAATGCACAGCGTTCCGTGCTATTGCTCTAACCAATTGAACTACCGAGTCGGTATACTGCCATCATGTGAAAAATATAAGAGTTTTGAAGTGTTTGTTCCATCAATTTAAATATAGTTTATCGCCGAATGACAGGTCCCGCTCATAATATGATTTTTATAAATCTGATCTAAGGCTTAGATTTTTATACGCTCTCATGTGCATTATTGTTGTGCAAAGATCACATAGATATAATATATAATCGTCAATATTGAGCCACCCAGGAGTATTGTACACCTCAAAGCTACCGTCAAAGCCTTGAATATACAAAAGAGCCATGCAACCGATCGAAGTGAGGAAGCGAAATTGCGTGATGCAACAGAACAATAGTATTGTATTCAAAGTGACCGGGTCACTTCACTTTCATTTCGACTTGTGACGAACTATCGCTTTACTGCACTTTCATTCAGACTAACGTCGGATTAGGCGACCGTAATCGTATTGCTGTAGGAAAAAACCGAACTTGTGAAAATTTTTACGTTACCATTATTTTATTGTTCTTACAGCTCTACACTAAGTGTTTTTTTTCACTTGTTATTTGAACATGATTAGTAATATAATATAAATTATAAATCTAAAAATATTTTTTTATTGGATAAAATCCGAAATACATTAGTTAATCATTTTACATAGGCATTTTACATATTTAGCGTTTTAAACCGTTAAAATGCTTTCTTCAAAGGTGTTCTACTCGAGTAAACTACAGACAGTATTAAATAAACTGACAGAACACTGTGGATGCCGGGTCAGGTCCCGCCCATGTTGTAAATTAGTTAAAGCTTAAATAGATTTTAATTTATACAATATTCATTTACTTAAGTATATAAGTCTAAAACGTACATGAATGTCATCAACACGATTGTCAGTCGTCATTTCTTCGTTGGAATAACTAGATTGCGATAAATAAAAACTTAAACATTTATATTATTGACCAACGTTCCTTACAGCTGGAGGTTTTCACATACTTTTAAGCCCTTGTTTTTATGTATATCTTAATATATCTATGCTAATAATAATAAAAACTAAAGAGTTTGTTTGTTTGAACGCGCTAATCTCAGGAACTACGAGTTCGTATTGAAAACTTATTTTTGTGTTGGTTAGCGCATTTATAGAGGAAGTCTATAGGCTTTAACATCGCGCTGTGACTAATAGAAGCGAAGATACAGCGGGGAATATGAACAAAACGGGGGAAATTTTTCATCACTGTGGGTTTCAGATGCGTACGCTGCGAAAACGATTCAAGTCATCTAAAAAATGTCCGTGACACTATATGTCTATCTTTTGAGATTAATTTTTGCCATTGTGGGCCTCTTAAATTTATAAAGATACATCTTTATAAATTTGAGAGCTTTGCAAAAACAAATTTGGATCCCCAAAATAACTAATATACTACGCGGACGAAGACGCTGACACAGCTAGTATATAATATAGCCAACGTTCGTTGTATCAAAAAGGTCAGTCTATTACTTAGTAAACTCGTAAGAAACACCGTACTAACTTGAAGTAATCTCAACTCACTATGTGTGTATTGCGAAAGTAACATATTAACTGTAAGATCGAGAGTACGAGTGTACTAACACTTTGCATAGCTTTTTATGTTAACGGGGTAAATAACTTTTGGTTCAAATTTAAATAAAACACTTTAGCCGTCAAAAGACGGCTGCTGCAAAGCATCCGAAACGTCGGGCCGAAGTTAAAAATCATTTTCAAATAAGTTTAACTAATATATTGCGTTTTAAACCGTTAAAGTGTTTTATTTAAATGTATACTACTCGCGTAAACTATAGACAGTATTTAACTTTTTGGTTCGTTTTATTTATCTTACAGAGCTTACAGAGATAGGTTTCGAGAAATTCTAGTCTAAAACTATTTTAAGATTTTGAACAGTAGCGTATACAACTTATGGATAAAAGTATTTTTTTTTAATATCATGTATTCAATAGAAGTCATAAAAACCTGCTGTAGTAAATACTGAAGTTAGGTTGTATGCCTGTGGCGAATCGGTTCGTGGAGTGTACGTCTCAGATATGGAATTTAATCCGAAAAGGTTGCGTACATCTGCCAACACCGATAAACCCTATCGTTTCTACTCGGCTGCCTACTTACGCCATTAACTTGCACTGTTTAATTTTATAGAAGCTGTAAAAAAAACCTAACTTCGCAAGATAATTCGGTCAATTTGTGTATCATTGAAAAACCTACTCTACACCCCTGAATTAAGTTATTTATTCCCTTGTCACGCCTAACCCTCAACCTCTATGACAGCTGAAGACCCATTTCAAGGAAACGTCCAATTTAAAGCTCACTGATATTGGGGTCTGACGTACCCCGAATTCGATCAGATGACACAACATTTGGTAATGTAGTGTACTGTTAGAAGGGTTCCGGATTCGATTACCGATTACGTTTTCTTTGAAGTCGTTATGACGACATAGTTTGTGACCTGCTGTCGACCGCTGCGGGATACTCGGCATTTTTGGCCATAAATGGCGTTTGGGGTCGAATGCCTTCGTAAGATGGCTTTATACGTTTTAATGACGAAAAACATCTTTAGATTTATAAAGAATGTTTTTCTTTAAGGATT